TAGAGAAGGAGTCTTTCCGGTCTATAAGCAACAAAGATTCAAAACTGCATTCATATGAAAAAAAGGATATGAAAACTATAAACATAAGCTTTTCCCTTCAAAATGATCCACTCAAAAATTCTACTGGTTCACAACAAACACCAAAAATTAAACAAATCACTAAACCAGGTAGCATTATTTTATGGTACAAATGTTCTAACTGTACTCACTTTACATAGTGTAATCACTATAAATTTTCATTATTCCTGAAAACAACATTGGGTGGGAATGAAAAAAGTAAATTTGAAATATATTTATCGCCACAGAAACAAAACAGGTTTATGCAAACCAATTTCTAACACTGGTAAATCCATTTCAATTAAGTAATAAATATCATAGCTACAATATTAGCTGTATTACTGATGATAGTTATGACAGTGTCTAATTTTCAGAGGCATATTTATCATAATAATAGTGCTCACCTAACTCAGAAGGACTTTGGGAGGATTCATTAATATTTATACCCATTAGTGTTTTGGAAATAACCACTGTTATATTATTTTAATTTTTACACAACTAATTAAAGCAGTATGAGGTTGTAATTGGAGCCATAAGCACAAAACCTGTTAATTCCACACAATAATCAGACTTGGACAAATAGTAAAAAAATAGTAACACCACCAATAATAATATGCTGCTTTCTATAAATAATGCTTTTTCCTTTCATTCATGCTCTAAATACAAAGACCAGGGTTTGGACTGAGTCTTTCTGAGGTCTCTTTGGTCCCACCACTCCCATGAGATCTGTGGCAAAAGGCAGGAAGAAAATACTAAACTCACCACGTAAAGTACTCTAAAAAAATAGTTGGGCTTGCTCTAATTACAACGATGATTAATTCTTTGCAGCTTTCAGCATTAAAAAAATGCATTCCTTTAACTGCAAAATAGGTAATAGCATCTGTTGTATCAGCTATAAAAGTCTCTAAGCCCTAATTGTTGTTCAGAAGACTTAGCAGTTTGGTCCGTATTAATCAGCCAGGATTTCCTGTGTGTAATTGCTCTTAACTAGCTCAAACACAGTAATGGACTGGTAAATTGGAAATGAAGAACAAATAGGTTTAAGAAGAATCTCGGCCACTTTATTTCCTCTCTTGCATTACAACAGCTATTCATAATAAAGGCAATTAAATATTCTCTATTTAATGTCTCACCATGTCACTCAAGAAAATCACTTTTCTTCTCATTTACTTTCCTCTATTTCTTTTATCACCATTACACAAACTCCACTGGCAAACTCCGACAACCACAGAAAGCTACACAAGCCTGCGGGGTTTGGTTGGCCGTCATTATTCTTACCCCATCGCTCTCCCAGCTGCAGAAATGCTACTGAGTTTAAGAGGTGGTTTAGGAAAAGAGGCTATTTAGGAAATCCCTTTTGGAGACCAAGGAGACCCACAAACATGATTCCAGCCCAAACACCAGAGACCTCCGTGTCTCCCCGGGAGGTGTGCAGGGAGCACGGAGCTCCTCCGGCAATGCTGGTGGAGCGACGCGCTGGGCAAGAGTGGCTTTGACCTGACACCATCAGGGACAGCCTTGACCCCCTGCACCCTTTCTGCTGAGGTGCTGTGGCTGGACCCCGGCTTGCCTATGTGTTTTGGGGTTACTGAACTCTGTAGCCAGAGCCCCCCACACTTGATCTGGGGAAGGATGATTTGAAATCCAAGTTTCTCTATGGGCGTATTTATTCCCCAGAGCCTTCCCCAAACTTCACCCTGTGGTTTCAGCCTCAGGTTGGGCCTTGCTCTAGTGTAAAGAAACAAAAACCAACCAACCAACAGAAAAATTGCAAGAGTATTTTAAAGACAAAGAAGCCTGGCGCCTTCCCTATGACCTTTCCAGAAGAAGAACAAATCTTCTGTGTTCAAGGTTAGAAAAGCTCCCTATTAGCACAAGACTTACCCAGAATATTGCTGCCTGAAAGATTAAACTTCTGTAAATATAAGCACTGCAAAAAAGCATTTAGAATGAAACCTGACAGCCTGACTAGCCACAATGCACCCACGCCAGTCTCACAACCGCCTGCCAAGCTTCCTGGGAGAAATATATTTTAAGGAACACGCTTTAATTCATCATCCTCTAAGACGATGAAGTGATACAACAGGAAAACACACATTAGTTGCCTCAACATCTTTACAAAATAGGTGTCTGCCAGTTAAGGGATGTGTTATTCCAATGTGGATGTCACTGCTGTTACCCAGACCCAACACTGAGCAGAGATGCTTCTGTGCAAATAAATAGAAAAATCTCAGAAGGACGCTATTACTGGCAGGAAATGACTTTGTAGCATTTTTCTTAAAAATATTTCACTTCATTTGAATGACAAACTATGCTTTTCTTTTTTGATGTTTATTCCTAGCCAGTATTAAAAACAGAGGCTGAATCTGTTCATATTAGAATCCAGATAAATTATTAATTCATATGATGCATATTAAGATATTATACACATATATAAAGGCAGCACAACTGTATTGTGTAAAAAAAAAAAGATGAAAACACCTCTACTCACAAACAATTAAAAGGCAGTACATCACACTTTTAAATGGCAAAACATAAAGCAACGCTTTCTGCCACCTGTAAAAGAAGTATACAATACTTTCAAGAAGTTTCTTTTTTGAAAGTATTTGTAGAAATTAAACTTTAAACAAACGTCCTTTGCCAATACATTTCCTGAGATTTCCTTTTGACTTTGCAACAAGGACAACTGCCCAAGGCTTTGCTAATCAATTTCTTGTGTAGCAGAAAACAGTGTAATTTGAATTTTGTCCAAGAATACAGTTTGAAATGCAGAAAATGTAAAAGGCTAACTAACATGCAATTATTTGTAGCCACAGTCTGCATACCAAGTGAGAAGAAAACTAGATAAGTAATTTAACAGTTATTGCAACTTTAATAAACAAAGAGCCACCTATCATGTCTTAAGGATGCAATATTCAAGAATGAGTCTTACTACCCCTCTATTAGTATGCTTCTGTAAAAAAAAAAAAAAAAAACTTTGTATCCTTTATAAGCATGGATCTTAAAGGACAAAGGAGGGGGGTTAGTTTTGTTTTGTTCTGTTTTGTTTCAGAAGACTATTTCAGGAACTCTTGCTATCATAATCTCCTATATGAATACTTGAACAATGTGCAATGCTCTCCTACACTGAATATATGTCTAGTCACATCCTGAAATCTTCCCAAAGGTCATGTTTCCAGATTGCCGCCTTGGGTTTTCTTTTCTGGAAGAAGACGCAGTGTGAGGAAGGGAGCGCCTGGCTGTGTGCTGCTGCCTCTTCTCCAGCCAAGCATCTAAAGCACCAAACCCCCAGAGTTTTGCCTGCACCCCAAAACCACAGATCTGCAAGCACTGAAATGTAGAGAGGAGGATGTGGAGGAAACGTGACCAGTCCATCCCTTTCTGTCCCCATCCTCCTCTTCCTCCATTGCCTGAATCAAGCGTTCCTCTGCAGGCGGAATGCAAAGCCTGGGCTGCAAAAGCCTCTGTAACTTTGCTTCTTGCAGATACTCTGAATGTGCAGCCCTTTTGATAGGTAAAGGTTGAGAATGAAAAGGGAATTTCTTACTACTGCTTTTTAGGAATGAAACTTTTTCTCTCATTATAATTTTTCTTGTTATAGGAATTTTTATCTCGTTCTCAGAGGAACTGAGGAAGCCCTCCGTACTCGGGGCTCTTCCAGCTTGCACAATGCATCTGAGCAGTGTCAGCACAGGGCTTCCACAGCCAAAGGCCAATCTCCACTAAAAGAACTTAATTTTACAAAACACCCCTGGCACACAAGGCAGGAGGGCTTTCAGGCAAAGGCTTTGCTTGCTCAGTGGCCATTAGGCTGTCCTCCCCACATTTAGATTTAACTTAGCGCTTCCACATCCATCTCTGTCTAGAACTCTGCTAAGCTTCAGGTAAGTGAAGTTGCACCAACAATGATTTCCCAGCAAAAAGTCTGTATGAATTACCCCTAAAGTTTCTGATACAGTTTTATTTGAACTTTTTCTAACACCAGGCATGGTTCTCCTGACTTTTATACCACTATGAGTCAGGAATAACTCCAAAGACGACAGCAGAGAAATCTGATAAGCAACAGAGCCACAACCTCTACTACCTAAAGGACCAACAAATTTCCTTTGGTTTGCAGCTGAAACTAGATTTATTTTATGGAAGAAGAATTACAGTTGCTGGTGAATGAATTATTTTTATTTTGAGGAATTGGTGCAATTCTAGATTATGGAAACAAAATGTATGGGGCTTATAGTTTATCCAAGTAGTACAGCATAGCTATCATTCAAATATTTCAGGTCTTATGCCAGCAGAATTTAAAAAGCAAATAAATATTATTCATGCCCAAGAACTGCTTCCCATGTGTCTGATTCTTTAGTCATTTAAAAATGACTCATTAGACTTTTCTCTTTTGAAGTTTGGTAGAAAATTCACCCTAATCTAAAACTTAGTAGTAACCCAACGGTGATTTCTTACACATGATTTATACCTAACCCTCTGAAGAAAAGGATTTATAATGAAAGTGATAGCTCAACCCTAACTGCAGCACTGGGAACAGTGACACCATAATTAATGTATTATTTCAGTTGTGGGAGCCACTGACAGTTGCTTTTTGTTCTTGGGAAGAAATTTATAGTGTGACTGAAAAAGGCACCATGGAAAAAAAATTACACAGAAGAGGAATAGAAATCCTTGTAGCAAAGACATGTCCTTACAATCCCCCTCCCAAAGACTATAAAATCCTGGCAATGACAGTGTTTCCTCTACGGTGTAATTTATACCTTTCTCCTCTACTAGATGGCAGTATGACATGCTCTCAGAACATCTAAGTGAGGGGTTTTCTTTCTTTGTTTCATAGGAAGCAATTAATTTAAAATATCATTTTACTGGCATAGAAGGGGAGTGGCGGGGGGGGGAAAGCCCAGCACTGGCTGTATATTTTGAAATCGAATCTCTTTACTTACTGGTTCAACATCAAAAGCAAAAAGTGCATATTCCCGGTCAGGTGACACTTCATATCGAATAGCCTTTAAGGAGACCTAGAAAATAAATCATACATTGAAATAAATATTTTTCAGTTTGTGAGCCAATAACATCTAGAACTAATTGTTATGACCATGTTTCTAATGATGAAGAATACTGACAGACTAAGTGCCTTGAAAAATAATACATCACTTTTCAAAACCCAGACACGTTATGTGGGCACATATATGCTCCCATAGAAGAAAGCATAACTGCATTGTGACTCAGACCAGGCAGCTATGTCAAAAAAACAGAATTTTCCTTACAAACCTACTGCGCAGTGGCTGGGGGGGGAGCAGCAGGTAGTAGAAAACCCTGATAGATGACAGTTTATTAATTCCCTCTCGTTCCCTGCAGTCACTGGCCAAAGCGCTGGAGATAACAAACAGTAAATACCTGCTGGAGCAAATTATTATAAAGAGACACTACTACTTGTCTCAATTAAGACAACACTGGGGAAAACTATCCCATTTTCCCCAGTTAAAAAAGTCTTTGGGATGCTGTGCTGATATAGCTTTCCAGTCGCACGCTGACCTGGGTTCTGCAAAAAGCTGCACTGTAACTCTTACTAACAAGAAGAGATGCCAAAATATCTCAGACTTGCCAGGAATTACCTTTTCCCTGCTCCACTTATCATTTGTATAGTGCAGACATCCCTTCTCTTTTCTAGCGTGTTTCCATATAATACATTGCTGGCTCACCAAGGTCAGAGAGAGGTGCCACTAACACGCCGCTCATCCACTGCCTTTTAAATCTCATCCTCGCACTTAACAAATTGGATGCGAGTCCTTGAGACATTCCCGAGGACCAAACTGGAAGGGGGAATTTGGGCTTCAGGGAAATGCACAGCATGCCATTGGGAGAGTGCTCCCCAAGGCCAGCGACGCTGGAGGCTGTGCACGGGGCACCCAGGGGACAGCCAAAGGCAGAGGGGCCTGATCATAGAATCACAGAATAGTTTGTGTTGGAGGCACCTTTAGTCCAACTTCCCTGCAATAAGCAGGGACATCTTCAACTAGATCAGGTTCCTGAGAGCCCTGTCCAACCTGACGTTGAGTATTTCCAGGGATGGGGCATCTACAACCTCTCCGGGCAACCTAAAGGGGTTGAAGGGCCAGCGTGGATCAGGATGGGGGGTGCCAGGGGAGTGTGACAGCCAGCACTGTCAGCATGAAGACAGATTTTATTTCCTGCTATATTAATAACATGGAGAAAGGAAAACATGCCAAGGTAGCAAGTTTTTTTGACCCAGGGCTGGGAAGGAAGAGGACGAAGATAATATTCCTGGATGAGGTGTAACAGTGGCTCTTGTGTCGGGACTTCTTGGATTAATGTGGAGGTGGTGTTCTGCAGATTTATTTACCAAGAGGGCAGAGGAGCAAGGGTAGAACCGGCAGCAGGGAGGCCATGGCATGAAAAAGTAGGATTATCTCGTAACAATGTGCTTTTCTTACCAACGGGAAAAAATTAAAAACCAGGGGAATAAACAGTGGCCAAATGGAAGCAGTTTGACTTGAACAAACCTTGACATTAAAGGAGGCCAGCTCATTCCTTTACCCTTCACAGAATTGTAAAGAAAAGGGTTACATTCTGGTAAAAGAAGACTGCTTATGTGATGCAGCAAAGGTTGAAGGTTAAATGGCAACATGTGAAGTTTTAGGTTGGATCCTGCAATAATAATTCAGTGATAAATTCTTTGTCTTGTTAAAAAAGAATTAATACTGTACTTGAGCTTTGTATGAGTCGTATACTCATACTGCAAAATAAAGTCAACTTGGAATGTGGTTTTATAGTTTTCTTGTAGATTTACTTTTAGCTTTTGAGTTTCTAAAGCTGTTTTCTGCAGATCTTGGGTCATTAAGATAAGTCTCTGTTAGCCATCCTCTGCTTTTGTAGTTTTGTAATGGTACAGTACAACAAAAACACCTCAAGTTAATCAAAGCCTTAGGCAGGTACTGCATAAGTGACAATTTTACCAGGATGATGTGATTCATATCTCATTGTTGGAGCAAATATAAGTGTGTTTTACTTCGGAAATTAACTTCTTACAGAAAATATTGAAAACACTTTCACATTTAATGTACTAACTTCCGCCACAGTGCTGGCTTCATCTACTACAAAAAACAATACTAAAAAACACTTTCATCATTATAAATAATACTCTGTATCAGCTGTGAATTTATTTTCTTTTCACTCATTTTAATAGCCACCTACTAACTTCTTTTCCCAATAATTTCTTAGGGTTTCTCTCATATGTAACTCCACTTCCATTCATCAACCCTATTCATTAACAACACTGAAATTACATTTCAACCATTAGGCAAGAAAAAACAGCAAATCCACAAATTAAAACATAAGTATTTGCATGTAGGAATGTGGAGAATGCTACCAACAGACAGTAAATTGTATCAATTGTCATTTCTATTAAGCATGCTAAGACGAGAATTATGCATCTTTCAATTATGTATGATATGCAAGACTAGCTTCAAATATCTATATGATACTTTCCTGTAGTATGAAAGAAACTGAGCTTGCAGAATAATAACAAAAGCTGAAGTTCAATTTCATATTATCAGTCATTGCGTAGCCCATAGTATTACTGGTGTATTGCTTCTCCTTGACAATATACGAAGTTGAAACCCAAGTCATTTTCTGCTTTACTGATCCAACTGCAAGAAAACTGTGAAAATCTGCTAGCATTAGAAAATACTTACAATTTTTTTGTTTTCTATTAATATTGTTGAATTGTGAGTTTCAACATTCCTCAGAATCACTGTGCCATTCTGGTTTCTATAAATGAATTCATTATCTGCAAGGAGGAAAAGAAAAGAACATTACGGAAATCTGAAGTTGTCTGTTTGTGTAGAACCTAATTATGGGCTTGAACCAAAAGTACTGCTGGGAACGTCCCTGTAAAGAAACAGATTACTTTTTTTTTAATGCAGCCATTGCTGTGATGTTAAAGTGGCTTCCAGGTTAGTCATTAAACAACACGGTTAGTGTTTGTCACATGTTTATTCTGCCACATGTTTATTTTGCCACACTTGCCCAAAGCTGAATGCAAGCATGTGACCTGTTTCGAATGTACATACACAGCTTGCTATATTGTTAGCGTAGAAGAAAACACAAGGTCAAAAAATATTCTTTGTGCTTAAAGGTTTCCAAGATCCTCAGTCTCTGTAGGAGTGTAATAAGCTAGATGCTTAGAAAGTCTCTGAAAGTTAAAGGCAAATCACCCTCTAACAAAGCAGATTCTTGAAACTAATATTGTGTAGATCTTCCAGATCTGCCATTTGTCCTGCAAATTAATACTGGAAGGAGATGCATGCAAAGAAATTACCATTTTCACATAGAACAAGACAAAACGGCTTGTTCCTATTGCACTTTGGGATTACCCTCGCACTCAGGACCTCTGGACAAGGACAAGAATCCCCTATGGTAGCTGCTCTACAGGTGGGAGATATTCTCCAGCTCAAAGCTCAAAACCTCCTTGACAGAAAGACTGGGGTAGACATATGAAAGAGTCACCAAATGAGGGTTGGGTGACAGGTCAAAGGTTCAGGAGGGAAAAACATTGCAACAATAAAGGGTTGTGGTCTTGTCAGGTGTCATAAATTGAATTTCAAGTCTGATCAGTGCTTACATGCACTGCCCCACAGATAAAACGTAAATCCTAAGCCCCAAGAATATTTCCATTAAAAGTTTCAGGAGATCTTGACACAGGAGAAGGGTTACTGTTTTTTTGCAACCTGGCTGAACTAAGAATTGAGAACTGATGGATCCTACCAAACTTCTGCCTCCAGTTTCAGCTAGGGAAGCAATTTCTCATTGCCTACTCTCACTGTGGCTACCCCAGGGTGGCTACCATCGTGCATCCCACAAGTGTTAAGGACACATGAATGGTTAAACATTACCCATGGGTTATCCTGGGATGAGTTAAAGGCGAGTTTAAATCCTACCGGATTCATAAAAGCACAGACCCAACTCATTGTCACCACAAACAGATGTACATTGCCCAGCTCAAGGTAACCTGTTGAAGACAACACTGGGTCCAGAGACCCAGTTCTTCCAAAATTTTGGTGTACAGACCTATCATACTTCCTCCTTATCCATGTTTCAGTGTTTTTTAATTTCTAAATTGGTGATGATAATCCTCATCACAGTCATTAACCATCTTTGTAAAATGCTCTGAAAGTGCAGACAAGAAGCTTCTACACTCTACTTATTGCTATCAATAAAAACAGTCACCTCCTACATATCACAGTTTTATATGTAAGCGTAGGAAGAAAAAATCTTTTCTGAGTTTGGGATGAATCAGATTCTGTCAGGCCAAACTGTTGCTGCAATATAGATGATCCTGTCCAAACAACAAGATTTGAGAGACTTAAGATTCTCAGTGTCCAAATCACAGCAGCAGCCCTTCAGACTCATAGGCAAAGTTCTTAAAATATCTCTTTCTTTTAATTATGGAATAAATTTTATCAGCACCTTCAGTCCTGAATAAAAAATGCAGGATCTGAATTAGATTAAGAATTTCATTTGAGACCAGAATAATGAAGAGAGTTCCTGTTTGGATTTGACAGTATTAAAATTTTATCATTAGTTCCGGAATGTTGTCCAAGGGCATGGCATTTTCATAAGCATGCCTGATTATATTCAGGACTTTAAAATATTGCTCCATATGACTTATGACTGAACAAACAAAGATTTTTCAGCCTGGAAAAGAACTGATTCAACAGAACTAGGACAGAAGTCAAAAAAGTCATAAGCAGCATGGAGAAGATAAATAATGAATGCTCGTTCCCTGCCTTTTCCAAAATAAATATTGGGAGGTACTAAATGACACCAGCCAGTGACAGGTTCAACACAAATAAAAGGGATTATTTCTTCATGCAGAAGGTAAACAAGCTGTGAAGTCACAGTCCCAGAGTAGAGCGGGTGCCAGGATTGCATTTGGGTCCAAACAAGAATTAGAAAAACGGAAGAAAAATCCATCTCAGATTACAGGCCTTCAGGGGAGACACTTTTCAGAAAGCCCTTGAACCTGAGATTGTGAGGGACTTAGAAGCATATCCTGAATTATCACCTTGAGAAATTCACTCGCTTTTTAAAATCTTCCCTAAGCATTTGCTCTTGTCCCAGGCCAGATACCAGAAGAGACAATCTCTGGGGTCTGATTCAGCACTGACTTATTTACAACTTCAACTTCCAGCTTCTGTGTCCAGATACTGAACAAATGCCTTTATGTCACCAATTTAGGAGGTGATAAAATAAAAGGTGTTAATGCTCCCTACACACCTTGTCCATTTATATCCTTAGGCCGTTAAGGCTGAAGTATCATTTGTTATATGAGGAAAGTACACAGTCCAAATTTTTATTTTCAGGTATTCCAGAAATAACAAGAATAACTAGGCTGAGAGGCAGAATATTACCTAATTACCAGACATTTTGAAAAAGATTACTGCTTTAATAATCACTCTATGTCAACAACACAGAATGTTTTCCAATTACATACTAAGCTCTATACAGAAAAATCCCATTTTAAATATGGCCAGCAAAGCATTTGGATAATTGTAAGCTTCTCAGGATATTTCCTAATTACAGAAAAAACTAGTGATGAAACTCAGCTCAAAGGTCAGTACACAGGTAAAGTAGCTTATTAATCTAATGAGTCTCTGGGGCTGTTAATATTTGGTAGCTGTTTCTTGAGCAATGCATGAACTGATGGAAGTTACATTACTGCCCATAATGACATTGCTACTAAACTTTTATTGCTCCCTATGCTCCAAAAAAACATAACACTTTAATAAACCGTAAAACTTCAGGATGATTACATAGAACTTGCTCCATAGTTGGAAGTAGGGTATGAAAGACTTTCCCATTATTTGTTAAAGTGTAACAAGTTTAAAATCAGGTGCTAATCTGCTGCATGTACTTCTGGTATGAGTAAGGAAGAATAAATGAAGCAATGCTGATTTGTTAGGGCTGTAAATCTTGCTATTATATTCAATACAAGCCATCAACACAGCATCTGAATTAATGAACAGAAAATTGGTCTGCTTAAGAGAAGAACAAATTGATCTGCATTATATTCCAGGCAAAACACTGTGATGTTTAGCTGGTCTGTAAGTTGCATTATCTTAGTCCTCAATAGAATCAATGAATAATATTCTCGGACTTTTGTTTTGAAATGTGTGATTTGTTCCAGGGCAAGAGCATTTATTTAAATGGGACATACCTCAATCAAAGACAAAAATGCAGCAACCTCTGTCTGTAATGAATTCTGTCCAGTGAGCTGATGAGAATTTGCAGCCTGATTTATAGCTGTCACCACAGCTGATAAAGGTCATCACTGTATCTCATTTTTTATACCTGCCTTTCTTTGGGGCTGATGTTCAGTGTAAATGATGCTGAAAATTGTAACTTTCAGGCATAAAGCCATTTATTCCATTATATAATGGATTTCTTCAACAGCAGAGTTCACTTCGCCAACTCCCCCCCCAGCCCCCTTCAACTTCCAGGAAATTGTCTGGTCGGTACAATATATTATGTGTCTGTGAGTGCAGACACAGATATGTAGTCACGCTTACAAAAGTGACTGATTACAAAAAGCAATGATTACTAGAAATAACAGAGTGGCCTTAGTGCTGTACAGAGTGAGTGTAGAGGAATGGGGGATCTTTGGCAGAAATTTTAAAAAAGCTGCTAAGCAGAACGGATGCAAATCAGGAAACCCAAGACCAATGATACATTTGCAGTGTCAGAGTTTCCCAGCTTCTTTGTACACATCTTTCTTAAATTCAGTCAGGAAATATGCACACAGAGAAAACAGATCTAGCGACAGGGAGCTCATGTCCCTCGCAGTTGCTGAGCCCTCACCAGGAACAGCACATACGTGGGCTTGCTCAGCCTGGCACCTCTGCCCGCTGGCCTCTTGTTTAGGGTGAAACAAGACAAAATATTAGGATTTCTCTTAAGAAGATAATGTATTATGCACTATGGTCCCAGTGCAAGTTTTGCATTTTCAGGCATGCTACCTGGCCAACCCTTCCCAAGGCTTTACCATCAGAAAAGGCACAGGGTCTCTGGAAACCTGCCCATGGGTGCTGCCATGATGCAGAACATGGAACTGGCAGTTGAAACTCAGGAGAAAGATCATGAGGCTATCCCTGGTATCATTTGAGGACTCCAAATCATCAACTCAATATGCAGAGGCAGCCTAAACAGCCAACAAAATGCTGGACACCATCAAGAGAGCAAGACAGCATGGATCATTTGCAATGATATAAAACAAAGGAGTACAAAAATTCATGGACAACTGATAAACTGACAGATATTAAAGGAAATAGGCAGGATATACCATCTATCATCCCTAATGCAGGGCTGCCTCATTATGGACCACTAAAAGGGGCCAGGCTCAAGTCCAACACAGCATCAGCTATTGCCATGGTTAGAGACCCAACACTGGGCTAGAGGAACACTTGCCTGAGCCAACACTGCTTCTTTTTACATTCCTATTTGTCAGACTGGGCACCAGACTAAGCAGCTCATCACAGTGGACAAGAAGGTCTGGAACAATTTTACTTCTAGAAGGAGTAAGTTTGAGTGCTGGCAGTGCAAAGAAGTTGAAGGAATTACATCCAGCTACAGGCACACAGATTTGCATTAGCGTCAGTGCTCACAAATTTATGGCTGTACAGCTTCTCTGATGAGACTAAGTAAGTACACACTGTCACAGATGAGAGACTGGTTTATAAGATAATAGCAGGACCCACATGCTTTTGAGGAGAATTTTCATTATTTGTCAGA